CTTGCCTCTAGAATTTAAATTTGAGCAAATTAAACTGAATAGAAGAAAAGGTGTTGCCTCATGCGCCTTTCTTCAGCCACAAGCTCAATACTACGTCTAAATTAAATGCAAAGCAGAATTAACACTGACTACATGCTCATATCAGTCGATGTATTTAGTCCCAGCAAGCTTCTGGATAACGCAGCCCATGGAGCGCAAGTCCCGGGGAGCCCGCAATCCTTGTTCCTCTTTTTCTTGCGCGCCGAGGTGACGATTTGGAAAGCAAAAGGCGAAATATCTCCAGCGTCTTCTGGATGATCGTCAGTGTGGAAGAGTCTAAACAGAAACACCTCGCTGAACAAGCTTTGCCGCTCGACTGTACTATCGCTTTACCCTTCGACTGTCTGAGAGTCAAAGCTACAATTTCGGCAAAGTGTCACTGGCAAGGCTGCCTCCTACGGCTGCCCTCCACTGGCGGCGCTCCATATAAGGTCATAAATCCCAAATATGGTCGTATCCCCTCCCCTCAGCTGGAGAAGTGAGAGCTTGAGGGCCCGGCGCGATAGGCCCCAAAAGTGTGGTTAAAAAAAGAAAAAAGAAAAAAAGGGCAACCTGATTGGACAGCGTATGACTGGATGGGTTTGACTGACAGGGGCGCTTGTTGCGATACAAGTACTTTTAAGTGGGCTCCATCAATGTCCAATAGAAATTATAAGCTTACTGTGCATTTTGTGCATTATAACCAATGACCAATAAGCAATTTTAAGAAGTTGATAAAATAGAAGCTGCTGAACACGTGTGATTTCTGTAGATTTCTGTAATAATTTCAAATAGTTTTGTTCTTTAAAAGGATTTTACGTCTTTTAAAGGTTAAACCTTAATGATGAGAGAGACATTTTAAGTGGCTTACCCGCATAAAAGCGCATTAGTTGTCATTATTTAGATGCTTGAAGGCGAGAGGGCAGTTTTCACATTCCACTCCGGCAGCGCACAAAGCCCCGTGTTCAACTTAACTCCCAGTTTAAGAAGTGCACAAATGAGCAGACGTCTATGGCATTGCATCTACTTTGGAAACTAATCTTAATGCGTATGAGAGTTACAAAGGTTTGACTCCCACAGCGCAAATGCACAACGATGTGGTTTGCGGAGGCGGAAGAAATATCGCCTACTAAACTTTTGGAATGAACAATATTTCAGTCTTTACAGTTGCCTACAACTTAAAACTAAAGTGAAGTTTCGATTTTTTTTTATTAAAATGAAACTTTTGGATTTAAAAAACTATTAGACTCGTTAAAGCTTTTTGCCATATTAGAGGAGCATCTTTAAGAATCAGGAAATTGTGTGTTTCTTGAAATCATAAGTTATTTCTTATCATAAGTTAGAACATATTTCTGGTATTTTTCTGGAAATGTTTTTCCCACTAATGAAAGACTAGAGGTCATGGTTTGCCAACTGTTTTATCTATACGCCACAGCCTTGTGACCAATCTCAGACTAACTGTCGGCGTGGACTAAACACTCCAGATGGGTCCTGATAAACTGGTCATCACTGAAATCGTGCAGTTTCCTATCCACCAATTAAATACTGTAAAAACAGCGAACTTGCAGAATAATAACTGAATATCTTAAATGCTGGCGGTGTTGGCAAACAGCCCCCGTGTCCTCCACAAAGTCAACAAGAGCAAAAGGTGCCAAAGGTCTCACCAAGCTAAGTCGGCCAGCAATGGAGAAAGTGTTGATTTTTCGGGTTTGTTGTGTTGTAGTTGTAGTCTCTGCCTGCGAACAAAAGCCCATTTCGGTAATTAACAGTGACAGTGTTGTTCTCTAATGGGAGTTTTCACGCAGCGGGCACCCGATTATTTTCCCAGATATGGTCTTGATTTGTCATGTGTAGGTAATTCCAGCAACACCGCTGCCAGGGGGTCGAGTGTCCCACCGCCCCGTGCTGCATGAGACCGAGGTCTGAAAAGTGATAATGCGTTTAGACACGCTCTCGCACTTCCCCTCTGGACGACACGCAGGCTGTTTTTTGGTTT